GAATACCGAAGTAAAGGAAGGATAGATTCAATATAGCTCGCCTTTCAGGACTTCATTATAACCAATATTACACGCACCGAACAGTCGAAAGTACAACCAGCAACTCTTATAATTCCACTTAGCTTCACTAATTTCGTGGTAAGCTTGACCAATTAATATATTACAATTAATTAAGGTTTTTAGTTGAGATGAAAAAAAGTTAATGGCACGAGCGGGATTCGAACCCACGATCTTCGGCTTGATACGCCGCTGCTCTCCCACTTGAGCTATCGTGACCTCGATCCACTCGGACACCAACTTCCCATCTCAACCGCACCTTTTGAATTTTCCCTCCTTTTTGCCATTTTTTAAATGTGCCATTGACTTTTTTATCTCAACTAAAAACCTTAATTTATTGTAATATATTAATTGGTCAAGCGCACCACAAAATTAGTGAATTTAATGATTTAAAATGAAGTATACTTCACTAAAGCTCTCCGTTGCCATTTCATTTGTCGTCGAGAATCCAATCCGATTACACGACATTTGAAAAATGGCAAAAAGGTGGGAAAATTCAAAAGGTGCGGTTGAGATGGGAAGTTTGTATCCGAGTGGATCGAGGTCACGATAGCTCAAGTGGTAGAGTAGCGGCGTATCAAGCCGAAGATCGTGGGTACGAATCCCGCTCGTGCCATTGACTTTTTTATCTCAACTAAAAACCTTAATTAATTCCACTTAGCCTTTTGTTCTATCGCTCAGTCCTTAAAAGTTTTAAGCATCGAAAAGTTCCCTTCGGGCCGGCAAAGGTGAGAGAATTAATGTATCCGAAATTACTTCATTCGCTCATTTAAAAATACAGTATACTTTTTTTTAATTTACATTTTTTTATAGGAATACTGGAGATATTCCAGCACATTTAACCATGTCTAATTAAACACGTTGTAGCCCACAAAGCGAACGTACAAACTGGCTTCGTAGGCTATAAATTCATAAAGATCCATTAAACCTTTGTTATGATTTAGTGGGAAGTTACGAGATACAGGTTGCACACTCTGAAGCAGAAAACTTTTGACTAAAATCTAACAAAATGCGTAGGAATGTTAATAGTGCCGTATATCAAGGTTATTAGAAAAAAAAATTGTTTATAGTTTACATTTTTTAAATTTTACATAAGGATCTTGAAAGAGTTCACGAAATAAAGTAAATCTGGGAATAAAGGTTCCAAAATTAGACATAATAGTTACACACAAGTATAACTTATTCTGGAATATTTTGATTACTAAAGTTTTTTTATACAAAGTATCATTCCTTTACAAAACACGTGATTTCAGCTCCCTCATTGGTTCCAAGTATTAATTTTAGAACAATCTGATTACAGATAATCTCTAAATCTTCGTGTTTTCGTCGTGTGCACAAGGTGGGATGTTTTTGAGTGTTTGTACTAATTTATTGTCAGAATTACATTACACAATCGTAAATTGTTCCTTTTTAAGTTTTCCATGTAAAGTATTAAAATTCAATTATACATGTTATGAAATCAACAGACAATAATAACACTATCGTTATAGCGACAGCAAATCTTATTAAAAAATAAACTACCTGATTAATTATTGACACTGAAAAAATAAATAATCGTCAGTTTTAATAAAATTGCATATCAATCTTGATAAGCTTTCAAAAATTCCTTTAATTGTTGTAATATCTTTATATTATGTATTCGATTTCTTTTCCAATGAGTGCTAGGAGTCGGGAAGAAAATATTTTAATTTATTTAAATGTTGTGTAAGTAGTTCAAGGTTATAATGTATCAGTCGATTTGTTCTTTTACTTAGAATAAGAAAATACCCTGTAACATCGTATTAAATGAGACAGATAATTTAATATAAATTAAAAGTTATAAAACCCAAAAGAAGCTTACTGTAAAGTAGGCCAAAAAAATTGTTTTTGGATAAACAATTCATACTCCTTTTTTAAACGTCCTTTAAATCCTTTAAATAGAAATTTTCATAGGAAACAAAAATACACATTTTTGGGCTGGAACAGCCGGAGGCAATTTTTTCGTAAACCATATGTATTTTTATCGTTATATTAACTACAACAAACTTGTTTTAATGTAATCCAAATTAAACGAGACCAAAAATTCATGACTTTTGATAAAAATTATTTAATTATGATGGTTTGAAAGCAACCTCACCAAAACGCTCGAAAATCATTTAATGAAAGAATAAATTGTTAGCTAAATTTGAATGAAGGCAATTTTTTTCTCGTCCAAATGTCCCACTTAAAGATTCATATAATCTCTGGATAATCCAAAATTTTAGGAAAATATAAAAAAAATTCTCAAATTTCTCGCCTTCCAAATGCCTCCATTTTTTTTTTCAAAAATCCCCAGAATAGTAATAATTTTAAAACAACTCCACTATAATAAAGGCTACGTGGGGTTTAGGACTCGATCATTTACACGTAAACAAATAAAAACCTGAATTCTAAAATAAAACGTTTTTGAAAGTTTTTATTGATTTCATCCTTACTTTTCTGTATTATAATAACATAAAATCAAAGGTTTGTCGGCAAGGGCTGAAATATGAGACATGAAGCTTTCTAACAATTCGAATAATGTCCAATTTGGATTAAATTCCGAGTTGTGATGAATTTTCAAAAAATCAATCTGCGGGTGAGATAATTCGTACCCATTGAAATGCAACATAGTTTGTGACCGAAAGTTAAAATATTTTTTTACAAAGAAACAGCCAATTTTCGCCTTTTACATGCCTGTATTTTTTTCCTCGAAAACCACAAAAATATTTGGAACTGGAAATGGAAACTTTACAAGGGTTTAGGACCCCCCTCCCCCAATCTGCAAGTAATGGCATAAATTTGCCTTCTTAAATAAATAAGAATTGGAGATATAATATTTGAGGAGGTTTTGTCTATTTGATTCTTATTTTTATCACTTATAATGAAATAAATCTAAATCTTCTTGGCTATGGTGTAAAGAAGAGAATTTAAGCAATCTAACGTAATAAATTCGAATGTGGATTTAAATACGTTATGAATTTTTAAGTGGAACGACAGTTATAAAATTTCTTCTGACTGATCTTGCAAAATTGTATATTTTGTTCACTAAAATTTTTATTTAAGGGCTTTAAACGGCGTGTAAAACGAGTTCGAATTGTTTTGTCCAAAAATTTGTCTTTCTAGATTTCATCCTTATTTTTATCACTTATAATAAATAAAAGCCCTTTTGACTGAAAAAATTAAGCTTTCTAACGGATATGATAACATTGAAATTAGATAAAATCCAGTGTTTATGAATTTTTATGAAGTGAAATACCGGAAATCTGAGTGAAAAAAAAATGTACCCGGCTTACTCAGCCAAAAAATCGTTCATCTGCATAGAAAATTTCAATGAATGAACTTTAAAAGATATATAAAATGACGCCCAAATTATTTTTTGTTTTTTCAAAAAAAATATTTTGGACTACTCTACTGGAATCGTCTTTTGGTTTTTGTATACGGTACTGAATATTAGTTTCTCCTCCTAGGTAAAAAAAATCAAATCGGTGGATGTAATTATAATAATCATGAAATAAGGGAACAACATAGACAGAAAACCATATTAACAAAAACATATGTGAGTTAATTAAAATATTTATTTTTTCTAATAAATTATTTATTATTTTATTATTCTAATTCTAATAATGCTTTATTACCTACTTAACCTACAATTAAAATTATCATTATCAATAATAACCACAACTTTCGACCCACACATACCTACTCAAACCTATTCAGATGTACGCGAGTGCCCAGCTTATGGATCGGCCAAATATTCCAATATTGAAAGATTACAAAGTTTTCAATCCAAAATTTTAAGATTAATTATTTGCGTAAACGATAACACACTTCACAGAGATCTTCACATGCCAACAGTTTTTTTCATCCATCAAAACGTATTACAGACGGTTTCATAGTAAATTACAAAATCACACAAATACGATTACTCCATTCCCCACAATTACCACGTAAATGACTGAAAAGAATATGGATAAGAGACGTCATAAATGATCAATATCATTTTATTAATCCAGAGCGACTGCCAATGGGTAACTTTCTCTATAACGCCCGTAACGCCACAATCATAAATTGACATCCAATCTGCTGGTTGTATATAATACATGTACAGTTGTAAATAAAAATAAATGAAGTAAAAAAAAAATTCTCGGCTCCTAGGTCCTATTAGCAAGGACGCTCGGACACGTGGCTAACATTTTTCGACTCAGTATCACCCAAAAAGCTTCATTAAATTTGTAATCCACGTCCGTAGCCTCCTTTTGTCAGGACAAAAAACCCTCTATCATCTTGTTCTTGATAAAGAAAGCTAGATAAAGTTCTTGCAATACAATAATTTTTGTTTAATAAACTTATTACAAAAATAATAAAATTGAGAGGATTTGTCAGCAGCACTTTCGTTTAACTTTATTGCTTATTTATCTAACAAATATACTTAAAGATTTAAATTTTGGCCAAGGAAAATATATAGTCCAAATTTGGATTTAAAAAAAAATCATTTAAAAATTAAAATAGCCTAAAAAATCGTAACCTGTTCGAAAAGTGTATATGCCAATCATATTGTTTTGCGCAATTATGAATCTTTCTTTAATGTTTTGTTTTTGATAATCACTTAGAGATTGTTTAAGCTTAATTATTTAACAGACATAAGTCATAGTAACTATTACCACTGTTACCAAACAAATACCTAAGACACGTTTTTAGCTATTGTTGTTGTATTTATAGTATCAGAAGTTAATTCCAAATTTATTAAAACTCTATTAAAGTATTTCTATTCAAAATAGTTTTACCTTATAGAAGTATGAGTTGGTTTCTTCTTCAACAACACGAGATGCACATCAGATTCGGTTTCTCTTGTAAATGCAAGGGATCTATGAAAGCGGCTGCGCCCTCGCGGGGGCGGCAACCCTCTTATATATATATATAACACAGGGCGCGCTAACTTATTTCGCTCTTATTCCTTCAAAAGCACTCGGTCAGACATGATGGGTAAGTACCAAAATAAAAAAAACAAACAAATGTGAACTTCGTATTTAAATGTACGACATTTCCCTTATTTTCTTCTAGCCCCGGAAATTATTTTTTTATCGTTTAAAAAACTAGACATAAAATTTTTTGCAGGGAATGAGGGTTATTATTACGAATATAGTTTACTTCACATAAGGCAAATATTTATTCAAATAGAAAAAGCAATAAATTGAAATTAAAACAATCTAAAAAATCGTTCGTCTTGACGTTTGACGAAAATTACAAATGTCATCTTCTAGGTACGTTTAAAGATTTCAATGGAACATTTTGTAAGCACTGATCATAACATACTGCAATATGTTTTGTTTAATTGGTTAATAAACATGCTAAAAAAATTTAACACTGAGTTTAAATGAAAATTATGTTAGCAGTACTTTCGTCAAATAAATTATTGTACATTGAATCAAACAAACATAATATGTTGATATATCATATCAAACATAATATTGCAGATTGCATCAACATAGCAAATATTTATTTGACTTTGGAAAAAGAAACATTTACAAATTAAAATTATCTATCTAAGGAATTAGTTAATTTTTCGAAAATTACAACGTCAAATTTATTATTTATAAGAGTACACCTTTCGATAGGTCATTTATTTTTCAATTTTCTTGTTGTTACATATTTAGGCATCGACTATAATAATATTTGTATAATAAAAAAATTAAAAGACGTTGAAATTTTGGTCATTGCCGATCATTTCAATGTGCCTACCCTCCTGGGTTGGTCTGTCAGATGCATTTCGCCATCTTCAGTGTGTCTGTTGATCTGTCGACCGGCCAAGCAAGGATAAGCAGACAAAATTAATCGGTAATGGCCGAATTTCAGGTTCATCACTCCGCAGACAAGGAAAAAATATGCATATTCACATAACAAACCGATTTATTTTAAATTCTGAAAATATAATAATCAGAAATTAAAATTATCTATGAAAATTCCTTAATTTTATGAAAATTACAAATGCCAATAGTCTCGTTCAACAAAAGTCTTGTTAATTTTGTTTAATTGTATTATAAAGGAATTACTTAAAATATTGAGAAGCTAGAGAAATATATAAGTATTTTCTTCTTCCACCTTTTGGAAATTATTTTACAAAACTTTGACATAACAAAGAAATTTACAAAATTACACGGCGTATTTAAAGTTTTCAACTCCACTAGCAGATCATATTCATGAAGATCTTGGCTTGTGCTGAAAATTATTATGAAAGAATTTTTCGTCGAGGTCGGTTTATTCAAACCCGATATCGTAGAATGTGTAAAATTATCAAAAAATGCTCCTTAAAACATAATACAAAAAAATTCTGAAAGAAGCAACGACGTAAAGATAAGAGAGAAAAAGAGAGAGAGAGATAGTGAGAGAGTGAGAGACAGAGAAAGAGAGTGAGTGTGTGTGTGTGTGAGAGAGAGAGACAGACAAACAGACAGAGAGGCCCATTAATTAGTAATATAAATAAAATAGCCATATTTTGTACATGAGAAGATCGGTTTAAATTAAATTACTTTAGTTTGTAAATTCAGTTTTGATAATTGCAAAAGAAGAACAGTTAAAATTGAAGATCGGCTGTACAATCTCTAGAGTATAACGATTTTTTTACATAGATGCAGCCCAATCTTGTGAAACCATTTAGTAGTCAGTTTTAGTTTTTTAGAAATATCTTAAAAAATATGGATTCCATTTTATTTAAGCTTGGAATTGTATGTAAAGAGCTTTCGAGCTGGATTTGAATAATTGAAATTTTTGGATTTTTTTCTTCCTAGTCTAGTAAATAGGTGTCAAACACACACAATTTACTTTTTACCTCATTATTTCAAAAGAAGAATTTTAACGAAGTCCTGATTAAGCCTTCCAGTCTACCGCGGAGACCGAAAGTTTATACATCAATTTTTGGACAAATACTTTTGAAGTTTTATGAACTTTTGTAACCAACATGTAGAAATCAGTGATATATTGCACGGTTCAACCTCCCAAAAAATGTAGTAAAATTACATTAAATAACACACGCACATTTGTAGCGCGTCAAATAAATTTAATTGCGGTTTTATATTTCAATTGTGTGTTTTTATTACTTAAAGATGTCTTAATATACATACTTAAGTAATAAGCATGTATATTAAGACATCTTTAAGTAATAAAAACACACAATTGAATTAATTATACTTAAGGTGTGCAAATGGGTCTTTATTTTTAAAGCACACGCGATGAGCTTGCTTAATTGTTAATCATTTTGTGCTTCATAAATCTAGATGAGTTTTTTTTTATCTTTTCTCTTAAAAACGGACGTAGCTATATTAATTAAATCCCAACATTCCCAAATTCCCTCTTTATTTCGATTATGAAAAGATAAATATAAAATCATATAAAATATGAAATTATTTTTTTACATATTGCGTTTTATATTTTATATCACGTACTTTCCTAATAGTGACCGATAATCTCTAGCAAGTTTAGGCAAAACGTTTTTGTTGAACTGGCAAAGAGTCACTTACTGGGTCCGTCTAGGCTCGCTGGTTTCGATGTCACTCAAACGCGTTTCGGTTTTGCACGATCTTCAGTAAGGATCTGGAGACTGTTGGCTGAATCTTTTCCTGCTTCAGTCCTAGAGTGTTGTTCCACCGAGTATGTGTGTTGAACTTCATCCATTCAGCAGTTGCTCCTTTTTTGTGGCAGTTTGAAATTTTACAGAAGAGTCCTAGACCAAAGGCGAGGTTGATTACCGATAACGTATTCATTGTTGCTTGGCTGTCTAATAATATATAATAATGTATCTCTACGCCTTTGAGTCTGAATTTTATTGTACACAGAGTTCCATTGTATGCCTCTTAGTTTGGAAAATTATTGGTATGGGACCTAGAGGTTTGGCTAGGTCAAAATCTAGATTTTTAACCCCTACCCCTACTTCATGTTCCATTTTATATTCATCTATGTACGTCTATTTATTTCGGGGTTTTCTTGGCTTGATAGCCTTCTAATTGTTTATTCTATTTGTTCGTTTAATTTACTCAAATTAAGGTTGAATTGATGCGGAAAATATGACTGCGTCTTTTTGACGTAAATTTACACGACAGGAAACACGCTTTTACTTGTTTTGTCACATTGCTTTCTCAAAGAATGCATATAAAAAAGGCCGTTTAACTTCTGCTGTCTTAAACAGCCATAAACGCGTCAAACTGGCCAGTGTTTCAGGAAGAGCATAAACAAAATTGGACGGACCCGCGTCTCTAATTTAACACTAGCCCGGCGGACCGTGCATAAACGTGGAAATTGAACATTACTTCTCCTTTGGGTACTTAACGCCCATTTAAACCGTAAAATATGTTTGGGGAGAGAGGTGTCAAGTCCGTTTGCCTCAAATTAAGCGCACGACAGTTGAAACTTGAAAGGACACCGAGGTTGACGAAGACACCCAGCTACTTATCATTCTCAAATATACTTGCATAAATCGCCTCATGGAACAGTATTGTAGCTATTTCAGAAAAGATTAAACACCTCTACTTAGAAATCAATCACGGCTTAAGAAATTCAAGCCTGTCGGACACAATTTTTCAATTATATCACAGATTGGATTATGTAAAGCGTTATAAGTGGAGGGTGTTGATTTCTCGCACCCTTTTCCACAACCTCATGAATACATGATGACAATACCGCGGGTTTGAAGACAATCCGATTTCCTTTTTATATACATTCTCGCTTTTGTCAAATCGGGAGAAACGAAACCAAGTTGCATTACAAAATTCAAGAGCGAATCCAGTTAGTAAAAGCTACGTAAAATATTTAAAAAAACATGTATTGTACGTCGGCTGGATAAGTAAAAACTTGGATTATTTAACCAATTTGTTATGAATTACAATATTCTAAGACTGGATTGGACAAAGATTTTGTTTCAGGGCACTTATTGGATTGTACCTGTAATTACATTTTTATGTTAATTTGGACCTACCATATGTATGACTCGACATAATTGTAACATTCAATGTGGATAATTCTTTGACTCCACCATCATAAATCGGGGTAAAAACATTCTATATTGAATTATAAATAATTTTTTTTTAAATCCATAATTTAAAATGAATATCAAGTTTAAATTTGTTTTAGTACCCATATCAGTCCGATTATTGAAAATTAACTGATTAGAGTTAATTAATTTGGGTTTTCCACGTGTTACGTATCTTGTTTATTGCTGAAAATCAAAATAATCCTCTTACAATCAACCGGTTAAAAGCCGTCGGTTTACGAGGAAGGATGGCGAACAATAAAGTCAACTAAATTACAGACAACTGCTTGTTTTTTAAATTGTTATTAATAATTAGCTCGTTACAACCAGGACCAAATTTCCTTGCGAATTTATCATTTTATTGCTCACCTCAATTGAAATTAAATCAAGATATTAATTCTAATCGTGGAAGAGACATCCTTATGACACTATTCTTATTTTGCACGTTTTGGTGTTATGCACGGAGGCAAACACGATTGCACATAAAACGGCATAAAAACAACACCATAATAAACCATTTTTATGGCTTTACTGTATTCAGTAAACGAATTGAGGGTAAAACCTTTGTGATAATGCGCTTCTTCGTAGTTTTGAACTTCCAATTCCTAAATCTTCCAAGAAATATTTTATGCTCGACATACACCGATCCGCTCTGTTCTATCACTTGAGTATTTCTCATTTTACATTTCTCAATCTTGCTTCGATTTGGGAGCAAGGCAGAATGGCTTAAAAAAATATAACGTACCAATAAAAAACATAATAAAATAATAAAGGCTACAGGACTACCCGGAACCCAAGACCGATGGCCAAATTTTAACCCTCCTCAGGCAAGGGTCTCATCTATAATTCCTCGTGTAAAATTCAATGACCTAATCACTGGTTACAATTTTACTTTGTACTACAAAGTTTTGAAAACAAATTAAAATTAATTTTATTAAGGAAAATGAGAACAAAATATATTTTA